AAACAATCGGTTTGTTTGTCAGATACCAGTCATCTCCGTTAACGATCTATCATCAGGCGCTTCGCAAAAAACGCCTTTATGCGTATAACTATTTAACTTTTTGCCTCCACATGTTGCGAGCGATGAAAGCACCCTGGGAGGGCCGACTTAACCAGCTCATTAACCACTTAAAAGGGTGTCTTTAAGGAAAATAAAAAGTTAAGTTTGTTGTTTGATTTAAACCTTTTATTGACAGTTTGTTATTAATACTAACAATGATTTTTAAACATCGTTTTAATGTTGTTCTTTTTTTAAACAAACGTATTGTTTTTTTAAGCTGTCGAAGAATGGAAAGTAATAGTCCTTTGGCGCACGCGTTAAGCCATAAACACGGGTTAGCTTGAGTGTAAAACCTTTATTTTCTAATATTCTAATAGCTTGCCACGGATCTCGTTTCCCATAGTGCTAATATTTCATAGCGAATGTTCCTGGACAAATGCGAGTTCAATAGCACAACACAATCAATATGTACGGCCAGTAAGTTAACGTACTCCTTTCTGAATTATCAACTTTATTGTTTTCAATCTAAAGTTGAAAATTCAATGAAGAAAATTGAAAGATTGGAGGAGGTTTATCTGCTGGCGTCTGTACTTTGTGCGGCGCGTGCGTTGCCTAGCCACTGTTTCATTTCTTTCCACACTTGCTCAAACAATGCTCTACTCCCGATCTAATGAATGCAAACAAAAGCCCAAGAAATTCCAGCCTGCCCAAATAAATTGTACTCTAGGATTTATTTATTAGGTTTCATTTAAAAATAACGCTATTTTTAATTCTTGCTGCTGTGGTAATAAGGTAAACACGAACAGATGTGCAACTTATTACGAATAGGTTAGAAGACATTTTCCAGTAGCACACGTTTATTTATTTGTTCTATCAATTTGGCAATCCTGAAAATAGATTAAAAAACAATACGCCCACGGACTTTTTCAACGCTTTAAAGCTTGATTGCATATTCTGTACTTACTAAAAATATTCCATTGACTAGTTCAATTTAGTTCGTAATTAGTGTAAAAATAGATGCGGTTTAATGCTTCATTATTCGTTGAATTGTAATGCAAATAGATATTTACTGAGACGAGGTATCCTCATTGTGTCCTAATTCAGAATATTTCTAGTTTTCCTGTTATGTACTTACCTGCTAATTAAGAACAATACTTGTTTATGGTACGAATTGTGGAAAATACGTTGATAAATACCTATAATAACATTAGGAGGTATTCCTTTTGTATATTTTAAATCCTCATCGTCTCATTTAGGTACTACCTACTTACTCAACATTAGGGTAATTATTAACACGGTGCACACTGAATACCTAAGTTGAGCATTACCTAATTAGTTTCGTTGGATATGTATATTAAAATTGATTTATAACCAATTTACCTAAAGTACAAATTAATATTTTGAACGATAGTTTGAGATGAAAAGTCTAACGTATATTTGTGACAAAATCTTGCCCCATAAGTACAATAGAGGATGACGCTGATATTGGTATCAACTTCACTGTTTTACCATCTCCTTGGTCAGGATTATTATTAAAACTTAAAGTTTCCGTGTATAAAAAGCAGTGCATTGACCCCATAACAATATTGGATTACATAAAACACACAATAGTACAATAGTTGGGGCATTTACCGATTCGTTAGTTCATGTTGAACAAGCTGTCAGCTTATCGTAGACCCAACTTTACGACTTATTCTTTACACCTATGTTGTACATTCGTGGTCAAATGCATATTTAACATTGCACCCATTATAAAATCAACGATTGCATTTAGTTGTTGCTACAAATCTTAAACTGCTTGTTGAATAAAAGAGAAATGGCGTAAGAAAGGTCTAGCATTATGCAGCATTTTGGTCTTTAGCTTTTGAACAAAACTATTAAATAAAAATGAACGGTACTATATAAAATACATTTGTGATCGTAAGAGCCAATGAATTAGATCAATCAATGAATGAATTAGAAATTGACAGAGATGAGGCAGCAGAGGTCTTTAATAAACCTAAACTTTAAAAGAGTAACGCATGGAGTTTCTTTTTCGTTCTTCTCTACTCGAATCTACATTTTGGAACGAGCGCCTAGCTTCACTGACGGACAGACTGACAGACTACTATTTACTTATTTTATATTTGTTGGCGTTTCAAAAGTATCAAATTATGGTTTCATTGTAATAAATGCTTTTGTGTTTGAGTTTCAAATTGTAATCTGGCAAATCTGACACGAGGTATTTTGGCCAACCTTCTCTCGGTTATCGGTTTGATATTGATGTATAGTAATTTATGAATAGACCAATAGTTAATTAAATTTTCCCCATGTTGTAACAAAAGAGGTGAGTTTATCAGCTTTCCGCTGAAATACTCAAACGCTACTCAATTTTAAGTCGCGCTTAACTATAGTTCCGTCACTACAAATTCTATGTAAATTAACAGAGATGGCACGATATTTGAGTACAACTTAAAATTGATTGGCCTTTCAGTATTCGGGCATTAGACTTTCTAAATTAGATTAGACACAGTTCTATGTTAGAACATTTGCTATCTGACATTGCACCTTGTTACTTAGAAATATGACAGACTAGATTATCTTTATGATAAGCCTTTTTAATGAAACTTTTTTGTAGAAAAATCTAGTTTTTTCTTATCTGAGTGTCCTTGTTGGCCTTAGGTTATCTAATAGGAATTGATATAGTGACGTATATAGACGGATGTGGTCAACACTGCTTGGCCCCTACACCGCAACATATCATGTTACTACTGTAAACAAAATCTATTAGGTGACATTGCCTGGTTTACGTAAGTAAGTTGTGTTAAGTATGTAGTTTGTAAAGGACTTATATGCTACCGACTATTGTTTTCTCTTTCAGGGGTTTTGCTAACGAGGTATGGATAAGATCTTAGTATTTAAAATTTAAGTAGGTGTGATGCAAAAATATTTTCAAATATGAATAGAACTTGTAAAAGTAAGGGTAAAACTCTGTATTGTTATTTAATTTTGTAATCGTTACAGTGCACCTGTCTAAAATCATTTGTCAGGTATATCTAGACATGTGCTAAATTTGGCCTATTATGCAATAAAACTTTCATATCCTTTAATACCTACTGCTAATCGATAACCCTCCAACCGTGCACCGAATTCGCAAATAGTCGTACTACTAAAATTAACACTGCATGCGTGCAGTCAAAAATTGTAAGCCCACTTTCACACTCGCCGGAAACTGGGCGTCGTTTACCCAACAGGATTCGGGTTTCTGTGCTACCTATCAATACTCGCCGAGTATGGCGACCCGTCGACATAACGCCGGTACCCGCTCATGTGTACCTGCCTCAATGATTTGTGAACCGATAGCTATTTCGGGTAGGTAAACCAAATATTCCCGCACAGCTTTCATTTTTGTTCGTGAATAATAATAAACAACGCGGCGGATATTTGAAAGTTCTGTTTGGACGTAAAATGATTGATTTTATTAGTTATCGGGAAATTATTAAGAGGGCCGTTAAATTGATGTTGGGTTCATATTTTTTGTTGATTTTTTAATTTGATTGTAATTTAATGTACCGATGTGATAATCCCTACATTATAATATTATGTTGGCTATTGTGCGTTTTGCGCTGCATTCTTGTGATGCTTGCAATGCTCAGAGTATCATTCCATTCTTCTTTATTACCTACGACATCGAGGTACAAAGACAGATTTGATTCCAGAACCTATAGCTCAGTAAACTTTCCTAAGACTACCTACAATATAAACAAGAGCCTAATAGCTAAATCAAAAATTAATTCTAAAAGCTACGACGAGGATATTTTGTTTGATGCCTTAAGCTGAATTTTATTATTGTTATTTTTAAAGGTAATTTTAAGGTGTAAATATTTTAATTATTTGTATTTATAATATTAGTTTAAATTTAGTCTAATCATAGAAATATATTTATTATTAAGTTGTAAATATTTAATCTTAGTTCTTATTATTATCTTAATATTTATTATGTACATTAATTAATAACTGCCTCGTTGGCCGAGTGGTCGCAAGTGCGACCGTTGGGCAAGGGGTCTCTGGTTCGATTCCCGGGTCGGGCAAAGTATTACTGGGTTTTAAAAAATTCTCAGTAGTAGCACGGAGTCTGGAATTGTGCCCGGTATATGGCAATAGGCTCACCCCTATTACATGGGACTCATAACATAAATAGTGAAAAGTGGGTGTTACATTGTACAGTGGCATAATGTGCACCTCTGCCTACCCCTTCGGGGATAAAAGGCGTGATGTTATGTTATGTTATTAATTAATAAAATCTCACTGACAACTTATTAAATGATTGACAAATATAGAAAATGCTATAGGCACTTCCAAAATTTTCCATTCGTTTCATAACCGAGTTATTACACAATTCAAACAACCAGACTGCATTATACCTCTATACAAAATGTACCGTGCTAATTCACTATTCATTTACACACTGAACAATAACCACTAGAGATGTGCAAGAATGTGCCCGATGTAGTCACTAAATGAATTAGTGCCAAGCAAATTGTGTAGTCACTATAGGCACGATTACACGAGTAATTAATTTCAACTGACGCCAAAGGATTCTATGGGTTATTGACACTGACGTCATCGATGTACATGGACACCTATATTATATGTTTCTTATCATCCTGTATGTTAATAATTTTATAGATGAGAAGTGTGTGTTCATACGTCTATATGAGGTTAGTCTTGTATTGGTAACTGCAGAAGAATGTCTGCTGAAATAACGAAGAAAAGCAACACTTCTTCATTTTTACTGATAGGGTTGATGTGCTTTACATCCATCTCCTAATTATAAGACATGCAAGGTTTTGAAGAATAATTGGCTGATTATTTGTCATCAATTACGTAATGAGAAACTATACAACATGCTCTTTTTCATTTTGCTTTAGCCTTTAAATTTTTATACAAAGAACATACAAATATACACACAAGGTACTTACCATTTGTTGTGGGTTCCGCGGCTTGCGATGCGCGCGGTGCACCTTCAAGCCCGTCACACCTTCCAGCACATCGGCTAGCAACAGTCCATCAGCGCAGTCTCGAGCAAGCCCACCGCCTGAAGCACCCGCGCGTCTTCTAGACCGGGCCCGCTCCAGGTAGTGGTTCGCCCAGTCTGTGTAGATCTGTAAACAAAAGCATTTGTTAATATTTGCTGAGGAAAAATATAGGTCAAGTTACGATGGTGAAACCAGACATGGTCAATAACAAAATCATATATTTATTAGCATTACATTATTGTGGTTACTGTTATACATTGTGCACTCTGTCAATTTGGGAAGAGGATAAAATGACAGAAAACGCATCAAGGTAACTGATTGACATTTTAATGAAATATGAAATTTAAAAATTTCACGCCCTTTTCGTTCCACAATATTATTAGAGGTAATCAAATTAAGTTTTTGTACGTATCGAATCAGGCAGGTACATCAAAGAACTGTAATTACGAGGATGCAAAAATTCATTGAACGAATTTGTGGGGAGCAAAAAGTAGATACCTATACAATCATAAGATGAACTTTACACGGGAATTAAATGTCGGTTTACTCAACTTCAGGTAAACAACGGGTAAAAGATGACTAACAAAGACGTAGATAACGTTTTACAAGCCATCAGATGTGAAATTGCTACTAAAATCTTAACGACAATTTCACACACGGTCCTCCAACGTGTCTGTTTATATGAGCTTCATAAATACTCCTGTCCATGACAATATAACAAAGAACACTCACAATACTCTGTAGAACTTGAATCACCCTCCATTTTACAGAAAGTTTTATGACAGATTTTTTAGTCAACTTTAGGAACAGTGCAAAAAAATCTATTATACTCGAGTTTACGGCATGAGGTCATACACATAAGTTAATAAGTGAGTGTTATGCTCAGCGCTATGAATTCTTAAAAGGATTTAGTCATATTCGAGTCAATTTGCAGGAGAATGGGGACAAGTGGCGCAGACGCGACGCTGCGTCGCCGGCTCGGGGCCACTCGGCCTCCGCCACTGGATAATACCTACGTGTGATGTACCACACACTCGTAACACTCTAATGCTTTTTGAGGGTGGTCTGTTTAATGACTGTTTATGCTTTCTCGATTACAACTCGAATTAGAAATATGTGGCCACTTAAATCTTAATACGCCCATTAGATTTAAACAAGACGCATTCTCAATGAGAATTTATAGATGCATATATTGTGTCTCCAGTTCTGGGACGCTTACGGAATAATCAGAGAAATCGAGCCGTGTCATACTGTGTCAAGGGTTTCGATCTTTATCGAGGATACAAAAATGCATGTAACATCTGAGGAAAATGAAACAGCAGATTTACATTGACGGCAACAATAAAAGACATTCCGTTGTAATTTGATTATGTATGTAACGTTATCTTTTGGAGCCTTGCCTTGATGCGAAAACGCGTAATCAGCTCGTAATTGGCTCGCGAACACATTTTCTTGACACCAAGTGTACGCAGTAAATTAATTCTATCTACATGGTGCGTTAAACTTTACTCGCAGTGTGTGTACACTTACAGTCATCCAAGTAACAATACGTGCCCTTACACAATAAAAACCCGCTTGTGTACTGATGGTAGATAGCTCCAGTACTAAAAAGCCATTATCATAAATCAATATTCCTCGATGTTATCAGTTAATCGTACACGTTAATAGAATAATCATGACAAGATATATTGGAAGGTGTGGGGATAGTGCAGTTGGTCTCAATTCGTGTTATCACACGGCTGTTTATTCAAATCGGCCTGAATAGCTTTCGATTGTAATAAATCTAGTTGGCCGGACATTTTTATCGCCTTGTAGATGCTATATCGGGAATAACTTGTATCCGCTCCTGTCATGTAGACTTGGTTTTCTTTGCGATGCCGACATGACAGTCATGTTTGTTCGAAGAATATCTCTGATGTATTGCACAAACATTTTCAAGAGATATATTTGTTTAGTTTTTTATGTTGTAGTTGCAATGAAAGAAAATAAATCTCAATTAATTGATAGACCGACGGGCTGGTGTTAACTGTTTGTAAGGTCGTGGGTTCAAGTTTTGTTCCATTGACGTAGGGCGGTGAACTGGCGAGTGGCGGCTGATGGACGCTGCCCATGTTATTAGAGAGATGTTAATGACATTACTCTGTGGAGTGTGAAAGAGTTTAATTCAAATTAGAGTACATCGCTTATGGAGATCTTTGTCTTAATAATGTCGAGTTAATGAATTTTGTTGCATCTGGCAGTACAACAGTTTTTATAAGAACACTAGCGGACCCAATAGACGTTGTCCTGCATAATAATATAATAATAGGTGTAGATAAATAACCTAGATATCGACTGCAGCGCCATCTGCCGGGCTGATTTGTGAATCTAAACCATTCCCAAACACACAAAAAAATTTCATCAATATCGGTCCAGTCATTTGAGAGAAGTTCAGTGACATACACACTCACAGGGTATATATATAAAGATAATGAAAATCTCACACCTAGTCGCTTCGCTGTCCTTTTATACTCCTGAAATGGTAAACGGGTAAATGAAGAACTAAAGTTTTTATTACACAGCAATTTTTTCAAAAGTAAGTTCGAAACAACTGACTGTTTCATTTAATAAATGTATATGTGGCCAGTGTCCGGCAGGGAGCTAGTTCTCATATAATTTTATTGCTCAAAGCTCTCAAACAGCTGGTACCCGAGTCTAGCTTCTTTTGAAACTTTAGTTCTAATACTGTTTTGTTTTGAACCTAAAAGCCTTACATTACTAAAAGGCAAAATAAAATGGATACAACCTTTTAATTAATTGACTTTTTTACTAGAGGACCACTCACTGAGCAGGACACATATTCACAAAAGAAAAATCGAATAGGAATTTGCAGCATTTGTATCTAATCATTTGCCATGAAATAATTATACCAATCACCAACAATTTGGCTAGCTGCAGGCCTTTATTGCATTATAAATAAGAGTTATTTTAATACATAGTGCAGCAATGACTCCCGTGCTGACATGCGCCGGTAATTAATCCTTTCACCCGCGCAAGCTATCATAACACACTGTGAAACTTTATTTGCGTTGAACAAACGTAATTTACGCTCACAATGTGGCTTCGTAAGTTTGTTCGTCCCTAAACCGGGAGCTGGACCAAAATAAACAAATCAGATTCGTTCCCATTCATTGTGTGTAGCATACCCCCTCTCTCCCCGAACCCCGCTTCGATTGTTTTCGTAAAACCTGCACGCTGAATAAATTTTTGAATGCTACTTCCATGAACGAAGCCATCGTAAAGTTTGAGTTTACTACCTATAAACTGGGCTTGATGAACCGAGATTAATCATTCCTTGAAGCTGATGATTTTGGCATTGATGTAGTGAACTACTGAAGTTTCAAGTTAATGGGTAGTTGACAGCCTATTTAGTTTCTTTGTAGAAGAGTTTCATGCAGATACTTTGTTTTTAAAAGGCCTTTTATCTCTTTTGCGTTTTTAATTTCATCTTGTTTCAGTGATTTTTAATAGTAGGAACCTACAGTGAGTCTTTTGAGGCTAAAGCTGAGGTAAGTAACTGTGATAATCTCAAGAGTAAAAATGAATGAAATGAAATTATTCATGATACAATGTAAAAACGTAGAAACATATTGTTTTCCATCAGAATACAGTGCCACAAAATCGTGTGTTTTCTCTAGATACATCATTATTCTAATGACATCGTAGTCAATGGGCATCTTCTATAGAAAGCACGCAATATTCCGTTCCTATGGTCACGATTGTGTGATATCTCATTTTGCTCGAGATATGCCGTACGTAATGCTCTGACCATCTAGGATGTAATATTGCGATAGAGAAATGCGGATCTCTGCTAGAACCAGCATTATATGAACATGCAGGAGAAAATATGTGTAGTATTTTGTTGGACTGCCTCGTTGGCCGAGTGGTCGCAATTGCGACTGCCGAGCAAGGGGTCTCGGGTCCGATTCCCGGGTCGCGCAAAGTATTACTGGGTTTTTAAAAAATTCTCAGTAGTAGCACGGAGTCTGGAACTGTGCCCGGTATATGGCAATAGGTTCACCCCCTATTACATGGGACTCATAACATAAATAGTGAAAAGTGGGTGTTACATTGTACAGTGGTATAATGTGCACCTCTGCCTACCCCTTTGAGGATAAAAGGCGTGATGTTATGTTATGTTATTTTGTTGGAAACGTCGTGTGCCTAGAGAAAGACTTTGGAAATTAAATCTTATACTTGTATAAATATGGGACATTTTTCATTGTAATTAAACTCGTTTCGTAGCTCAGTTTAAAATTTTTCAGAATAATTTTATACGATCAAAAATGATGTCTCAAATATTTTTACTACAGTCTTAATAAGTGCTTAATAAATTACACTATAAAAATATGAAATTTAATTGATAAGGCGTAACCACGCTTATTACTTTAACATAACCGGGCGTGGCTGTATGTTTTTATTGAAAATGATATGTTGCTGAGAAATTAATATGTGCAATCAAAAATATACTCTCAATTGAGCCAATACGAATTAATTGAGGCTAAGACTTAATGATGGTGGATGGAGCCATTTGCATATTTTGACCCGTGTTCGAGGGTCAATTACATGTCATGTTGACTCAACAAGCTCTACAAAGATTTAAATAAAGACAGATAGGCGTATACCTATCATCTGTTCACGAATAAATTTGAAATTCGAATGACTAATGTGCCATGAATAAAACCTTATTTTTTCTAACACCTCTCACGGCGACGTTTAACACGAACCAAAGAGTTTTTATAATTTTCACATTTATCTCATTGTCTATGATAAATGAAGTCGATATGTTTTATCTGCTCAATGTTAAGAGAATGCGATGCAATGGCTTTTGTTCTTATGAATCATTCTTGTTTGAACAAACAGTGGTTTATACAAAAGTCCAGAGCAAATTTCTAGGAAAAGTTAACTGCCTCAGGGTTTAACGTTTGGGAATTTCCAACTATGAACTCAGCATCTGGATGAACTGAAATATCGATTGAAGTAAATTGTGTCTCTATTGTACCCTTTCCGGATAACAAGGGTTATGTTTATGATGAAGACCTCGTTGTTTGTGCTTCATATCAATCCCTTATCCTTAACGGTCGGCCAGAAGTGTAACTCTCAGGTCTCACCGCGTTAGGAAATAGAAAGGTGCACTTCAGGGCACCTATATTGTTATCGCTGTGAAACGCATTTGGCAGTCTTGGGCTACAATGGTAATTTTAGAGTTCAAAGTTCACTCTGGAAATGCTTTTACCTGCTATAGTTTTATTTTATGTGATTGAGATAAGCATAGTCATCTAAGAGTAAAACCCTCAATTCGTAACATTTATAATGTAATCGTAAAAAATAGTATTCAAAAGTATGTTATGTACCAGTACTTTAGTACTGGATACTTTTATTCTAGTACAGTTAAATAAGACTTCAAATCATAGCATTATCTCCAAAATGTATGCTGAACACCCTCAAAAAAATATAAAGATCCTCTCTTTATTACAAGCCTAAAACAAAACCATAAAGATAAATAGGGTTGTAGTATTCTAAACGATGCATAACATTTTATCGACATAGTAATATCGATAGTTCGTCACGGGCGTTAGGTGTGAGTTTAAAAGCGTTTAGTACGGAAGCGAAATGAGGTCGCGTGGCTTTTAATATCGTAGCTGGGGTGCGACTGAGGTGCGTCGCAACACTATGATCTTCTTTGAAGTTATCATTTTAAAAACAGAACTGTTTTGAATTTGGAAACATCGAGACAAATGAACTATTTTAAAAATGAAATGCCGTTGACGAAACTGTTACCTTCAGTTGAGAAAATTATACTTGGTGAATTCTTTTTTTAAGAAAATATTTGAAATATCATGTCCAATAGTAATGATCTTCATTTTTGTTTTGAGGACATTATCAACCTTGGCAACTTCTGTACAACCTAAATAGAATTTTAATTAAATCAGACATGTTAGTTGCCCTCGGATTGATTCTTTTATTTCTTGACTATTACATCATACGTTGATGACAAAATTAATCGACTTTTTGCCCATTTTACTCATTTAATTGAAGAACAGGTTCAAAGTTATTTGGAATTAATTTTAACCATATCTATGTCAAAGGGGAAAGTATTTATCAGGTCGCGTGACTAAGTAAATTTTTCATAGAAAATACAATCAGCGGGTAATGTTCTCAATGACTCCTCAAGGCATCTTTCACTGTCAAACAAAAGAATATCGCATCGAGGTCAGACATGAAGACAGAAAGTTAGTTCCAAGAAAAATTATCTAGGAATGGTGTGTTGATAGCATTTGTTTTAGAAAAGTAGTGTAAGCTAAAGATTAAAAAATATACAGCTGAATTGATAACCTCCTCTTTTTTGGGAAGTCGATTTATAACTATTGCATTGAATAAAAAAACAAAAAAGTTTGAAATAAAAGTTCTTCTTTCAGTTTTAACCGGCCGCTATGAAAGACGATGACTAAGCACGAAAAGGAGGAGAGCCAATGTTCAACAGTAGACAACTTTTG